CACACAAATATTTATTGCCAGTGGGCTGCACTCAGGAAACCTATTGGATAAGAAGAACCCCCTGGGCTCAGACCCTAACCTCACATTGTGCCTTTGGGAATTCAGGGAAGTTACTAACCTTCCCTGCACCTCCGTTCCCTCATTTATAAAAATGGGCTTACATTAGTACCTGCCACAGAAAGTGATGGTGAAAACTCAATTAATATCTCAATTATTATTCCTGAGCCCTTCACTTACACCCTCTTTTAAAATCAAATCCAAGGTAAACACCATCTAAACAAACAAAGAAACGAACATGAATAGCTGCGATGATTGTATTGCTGATGTGTGATGGTGTATTGAAATGAATAGTTAATGCTCACAACTTTTTATGTTCTGATCAATTCTACATACTTGTGTCTGGTGGTCTGAGCAGCTCATTTGAAGGTAACAATATACAATGGAATTACACTGGTGAACTCCTACCATCTTCTCTAGTGAAACTCTGTGTTTTCTCTACTGTTTTTATCGAAGAATTATTTTCTTATTCCCTATAATGGTTTGAGTAATCTTTCATTCTTACATCTTGCAATCTGAGCATTGTAGTTGAGGATAGAGATATGTAATGTAACAACCACTGTTGATTCATATTATTTTGTCTTGAGACCCTGTATCACTTTGAATATTCTTGCTTTGATTTGTTTATGTTTGTGATACTGGTATGGTGCTACTGTTCTATTTCTTTGTTTGTTTCTTTTTCTCATTTACTACTCTCTTTCAAATAATAAAAAAGAAATGAACAATAAAAGACAGTAGCCAAATGTAAATGAATAAGTGACATAAAAATAGCAAAGGAACCAAAAAGCACATAGTTCACTTTCCTAACGAAGGAAACGGGAAGGAAACCGGAAGGAAACCAGAAGGAAACCGGAAGGGGTCTGTGTTTTTTCATATGGAACGGTTGCCTGTGTACTAAGGTATCTGGAAGAGCATTCCTCCCACTCTGGGAAACACCAGGCTTATCCAGGACAGACTGCGTACGTTAATAAAACATGTTGTCAAATGGGATTTCACAAAACTAGAGTTCTTTTTTGTCTGCTTTTGATGAAAGACAAGGGTTTTATTCAATAAAATACAAGCCCACTACAGGATCATATATGTTCAGGGTATGTAGTTGTTAGGTGACCGAATATACTCATGGGAAACCTTGGGGAAGTTTGGGCATTTTATGGGACCAAACTCTAATGATGTACTAGACCAAGCATCATGAAAAGTGTCCTGGACAGCAGCTGAATAAAAAAATCAGGTGTGAGACACTGGACTAGGATGGAGACATAAATGAAACATTCTTACAACTGCATGACTATCAAAAGATTAAACCTCACTAGCCACTATTTGTGGTTAAAACTTGAGTCCACATTACACAGGTTATAAGAAACACGTAGGAGGAGAACAGCAGAGAAATTAGAAAGAGAAGTGGAAAACGCATTTAAACATTTAGATGGTCCTGCACCGGACTTTGGTAGATTCTGATTTCTCCAGTGACCTAACTTCTTGTAGCATGGGGGCAGTGTATGAGGCTAAAGGAAATTTCCTCACTGAAAATGTTTAAAAACTGTATGGGAAACATCCTGAATGCAGCCTCCCTTTGGGAATTTCGAGGAATATGAAAAGTCCTTTCTCAGGATGGTAACAGCTGTCTGTTCAGGAGCTTCTTCACCTGGCCACATCTGTGTGGCCTCTCTCCATAGCTGGAATCCAGGCAAACACCTTGCAAACTGGGTCTGTCTTCTCACCATGGTGTCCTGCATGCCTCACGTAATGCTTGTGCTTAAAAATATTGTTAAGGGAAACCGTGAAATTAGTAATTGAACCCCAGAAAAGCTGGTTGCCAGTAGCACTTACCGTAGACCAATTTAAGAATAATAAACCATGGATGGTAACTTCACTATCCATCATGGCTACAGAAATTATAGCTATGCATATGTGACTTTATATTTTGCCAGTAAGGTGTACACACGTACAGAGATAGAGAAAAACGTGTACAAACGTGAACACATGAAGATATTCATAACACCACTGGTTACAGTAGCCAAAATTGGAAATAATTAAAACATTCATAAATAAAGTACAAAATAAATAGGTTAAATTTAAAGTCGTGTGCTGCCTGGGGAAATGCTCTGAAAAATGAATCATTAAGTGGTGGTGTCACTGTGTGAACAGTGTAGTGTGCTTACACAAACTTAGACCATATCGGTCCATCGCTCCTCCTGGGCTCCTAGTGCAATATTGTGGTGAATGAGGCATGACACGGCTGCTGGAGTGACTGGGCATATTTTAACAGTAAACCTTTTGGTAACCAGAGAGAGTAAACTCTAAGCCATAAATTGCAGAATACAGTAAATGCATAAGCCAGTAATATAGTAATTAATTGTCATTATCAAATATTATGTACCATACCTAAACTGTATGTCATATACTTTTATGAGCGTGGCAGCACAGTAGTCTTTTTTTTTTTTTTGCAGGCCCTTTTGCCGCTGAGCTAAATCCCCAGCCCCTAGCATAGTAGTCTTGTTTACATCAGCTCACACAAAGACATGAATAATGAATGCGTTGTGCTCTGATACTGCACTGTCACCAGGCAAAAGGAATCTTTCAGCTTCTGTGATCTTATGGGACCACGGTGTATATATATGTGACCAGTCATTAGCCGAAACATCTTTATGTCACACGTGACTGTGGGTCATGTTTTGTGATACGGTGTTGAACTGTAGGAGTCTGTTCAGATAGGACACACATCATACTGTTAAATGAAAAAAGTAACTTGCCAAAGTGAATGAAATATGATTTCAAATTTGCAAAGTCTAAAGTATATGTGTTTTTCATAGGAAACATTCTGGGAAGTTAACGTCGCATCTCTAGACAGCAGAATTATGGATTGCATTTATTGTTTTTAATACTGATATTTACCTAATGAAGCTCTACCCAAGTACTATGTTTATAATCAGGAGGGTAATAGACTGACTTAAAATTAAAAAGAAAAGACAAAAACTTTTTGCTGGGGCCAAGTAGTCTGCATTCTAACTCCATCCCTGTCCCGGGGAATCCTCAGGATGTTATATACACTCTCAGAGGCTTGGTCTCCACACCTAGAAAATAGAAATATAATGGAAGGTGGCCTTTTGATTTTATAAGTCAGATATGAAGATAAAATGGGTAAATATATAAGAGAGCATATTACAAATTGAAAAAGAATAGAGGTATAAAATGATAAGTAAACTGAGGAAAAAGCAGGAATAAAAGGACCAGAGAACAATGATTGTATGATTACGAACAATTAATGTGACAAGTGGTAATATCTGAAGGCATTATTAGAACAATTTTCCTGTGGGAAATATAAATCTTGTGTTATGGAGTTGGGGGAATTAAGTATAGTTTGCACTGTTCTGCACACCAAATTGTGAAGGGAGACCTTGCCAGCCTCCTGGAGGAGGAGGGAGGAGGTGTGCTTGTTTCTTCAAGCGGAGGGTGGAAGGAAGAATGAGATAAAATACACCCCGGCGCTTCCTCTGCACACACTCCGAGGTTATTTGAGTGATGGATACGGGGTAGCGACTAAAGCAATGAATACTGATTTCATTAATTAATCATCTAAAAATCAGAAATAAAACATTTAAAAAACTAAATGTTGTGGCATAAACCTATAATCCTAGCACCCAGGAGGCTAAGGCAGGAGGATGGAGCGTTTAAAGCCTCCCTAGGCGATACAGGAGAACCATGTCTGAAAAAGGAAGGAAGGAGGGAGGGAGGAGGATGAGGAGGATGAGGAGAAAGAGAAGGAGGAGGAGAAGGAGAAGGAGGAGGAGAAGGAGAAGGAGGAGGAGAAGGAGAATCAGAAGGAGAAGGAGAAGGAGGAGGAGGAGAAGGAGAAGCAGAGGGAGAGAGAGGAGGAGAAAGAGGGGGAGGGGAGAAGGAGCATAGCTAACTATGCTAATAGTTAGCTAACTGATAGCTAACAAATTTATTCAAAACCCTTAACAATCTCTGCATCCCCTCCTTGATCAAATGGGTTCTGCTCATGGAATTTCCATGTTCTCATTTGTTAAATAAGTGGCATCAACTAAACCATCTCATAAGCCCCTCCAGCAGGAAAGATTTATGAAGCTCAGACTCTGTATATTCTTCATGTTCAGATTCCATAACAAGAGCCTTCCCTTTCCACATTTCTCTAAGATGAAGAATTAAATGACCACCCTTCTATGACCAAGACATCCTGCTGGCTGCCTTGCTTGCTCTTAGTTGGTTTGGTTGAAACATTATAGTTTAATACCACTAATCTATTTTACCACAGGAAAGCTGTTTAAATTTTGCACACTTCCTTTTTATTTTCATTTGTAAACTTAGAACAGATTAATACCTACTCTAAAGGGTCACTGCAGAGTTACGTACTACAATAACCAAAACGTGACTGGCAGAACCTTGCACAGGCTCTGCGTGTGATGAGAATTAAGAGGTGGTAGTGAACGGATAAGTTGTACGTTTGTTTCCAAATTTTGATTTAAATTTAACAGCAGCTATGACAATATTACCAATAGGCAAAATTTAAACAGCTTTCCCGTGGTAAAATAGATTAGTGGTATTATACTGTAATATTTCAACCAAACCAACTAACAGCAAGCAAGGCAGCCAGCAGGATGTCTTGGTCATAGAAGGGTGGTCATTTAATTCTTCATCTTAGAGAAATGTGGAAAGGGAAGGTTCTTGTTATGGAATCTGAACATGAAGAATATACAGAGTCTGAGCTTCATAAATCTTTCCTCTTAGATCTGCTTCTTAGTTTCAAATTCTTACTAGAGAATCACATCACACACAATCTAAAGAAAGCCAGACTCTTCCATTAAATCCCAGAGGGCTAAACAGTGCTACTACTCTGGAGTCTATGTTTGACTTCACTGGGGCATCTACAAGCAAAGTTCACATTAAAGCCTCAAACTAAATCAAACAAACCCAAATTAATGCGCTGCTTTTACAAAAGCATAAATAGAGCATTTTATTAACCTTTTTGCTGCAACAAAATGACAGTCCACATTGTTTTATTCACAATAAAAGCTATGGTCACATTACATCACTTTGAGACACAAAGCAAAAGGTATTTTTATTTTCTTAAGGTCAAGAATGGTTTGCATTTGAAACAAACTTCATGGTTTGTGTTGCAGTAGCAGGGCGTCCAGTCACTAGCACAACACAATGAGCTGATCAAATATTCAGAACAGACAAACACACCAGTAATATTTTGAGCTGAACTGGAAAGTGCATTATTACATTGGAGAACAATATAAAGCGGTCTGATGTTAACAGAAATCATTCCGACCACCCAAACAGCTACCACAAGCAAAATGAAGGCAATATATAGACAGGAAATTGTCTGCATTACACTTATTGCTTGGTACACAAATGTCACAATTCCTGTTGAATTAGGTTAAGAAATGACAAGCAAAATACCTCCTCCCCATCTAAAAGTCTACGACTCTATGAAAGTAGAAATTACAGTCCCCTAACCCAACATTAGGTGTATGCTATTTTTGGTTTGTGTGAAGATTGTTTATTATGTTTCTGTGTGTATGGATATGTATAAGATATACAGATATACATAGATACAATTTTAATATAAGTTACTGTCCTATATATTTAAGACAAATATCTCTTAAATGGGACTTTAAATAATAAAATTGTCTACTTACAATATCTCTTAAGTTTACTTTTCATATTATATATAGTTCTGTGGCACAAGAGTCATATAGTATTTAATTATTAAGGAAGAAGGATATCTAAACCACTTTCTATTTCTTTTATTTTCAATATTGCATGTTAAGGGTTATATCTTCGTAATAAATTTCTTATTAGATTCTTTATGGTGTATATATCTTTTTTTTCCCCTAATGCAAGTTACAACCAGTACAAAGTTGTAATAAAAAATACATTAAAGTCTATTTCTTTTTTTATATTGTTTTTTGCAAAAAAGTTATGTGATATGCTACATGAAAAATTGAATTTATTGAAATGTGTAGTGTTTCATACTGTTAGGTAACGAATGGAAGAACATGAAGCATACCCCTCACTTTACAAGTTCTCTTTCACAAAAATAAGTGTTTGTGCCCAAGCATTTTATATAAAACCCTGCAAGATATTCCTTTGGATCACAAAATATCCCACATGATGCAATCCAAATAATTACCTAGTACAACTTTCGAGTGGCTAGTGCTCAATATACTTCTTCCACTGAGAGATCTCAGCTCCATTACTTACACTCACTAAATATTGTTAACATCTGGTGCAGCCAATAGGATCGTATCACTTTTTTTGGAAACAGGATTTCTGTGTGATATCTTGCAGTACAATGTAACAAATGTATAAGTGCATTTTGCATGATCAAGTAGCTTTGGCTTCCTAACTTCTGTAGGATGACATGTGCCAAATGTTTGTGCTTTGTTAAATGGTGGTGAGTTTTAGCTCCTGCGAATCCAATGGGTAACTACTTATTTCTACAGTGAACCTTTAAATCACAAAGGCAAGAATGGATGACCCGGATGGAAATGATGTAATTTCACAACTTCTACAGATTGCACTTAGTGGTGATTTCATGAGTTTGACTTCGTTTTTACAGCAAGACTTGCCTGGTTGATACATTTACACCACGTTTTTTAAATTTTTTTGTGCAATCACACTTAATTTAATCACAAACACTAAAAATAAATCCAGCAATTAATTTTGTTATGAATAATCATCTCTGTCCTTATACGGATATGAGTCTGGTACTCCTTCTTGTACAAATTCCTCTTTCTTTTCCCAACCGTTAGGCCAACCTCCATTGGCTTGTGTTGTGGCACCATAAGATTTAGTGGTACCATAATTTATATAATTCTGAGTAATGTCCCCTGTTTCTTGATCCAGTTCATCTTCATGGATAAATCCACACTTCTCTTCACTTGTTTCCTCAGGGTCTGCCCAGGGTTGCTTCTCTCCTGAGGCAAATATTGCATAAAATATAACTCCACCATAGTGGACGAGAGCTGCTATCAGGAAGACATACTGCCACTCTTCACGTGACTGCAGTGAAAAAATGGTACTGTCAGTGGAAACGCGCCATGATTAAAAACACAACATCCCCACTGAGTACTCTACCATCATGCCTTTCATGAAATACTGTCTTTGGGAATGTCTAGGTTCCAGTTATGTAAAGCAAACACTTTCATAAAAACATTCTATAAAACTCTTTCTTTGAGCAATGTTTAACATAAAAGTTCCAAAATGAAATTCCAAATCTATCACTACCTGTTCAATTTAAAAATATTAATATTCCCTTTTCATTTCCATTGATTTACGTATAGTTTTATTTCACTCCTTTTCTTCTATTAAAACACAATTTTGGAGCATTATGCACACGTATGTTGACAAATAGTTGACACTAATATTTCCCCGTGGACAAACGTAAAGGATTTGGGATTGAAATTTATAAATAAACCTGAGGCGACCACTGCTTGCGTACCTCAATAAGGTGCTATTTTAAAAATTACTTTTTCCACATTGGGGATATCAGAAATAGGAGTGTAGTGCACTGTTCTGACTTTGATACCCAGCAAAGTAATAAATAAGTAAATAGCTGTTAAGTGGTGTTGAGAAAAATCTTGCTTATTGATCGGACAAGTGAATCTTTTCGGGATTCACAGAGAGATATTTTCTTTTGAATCTCAATTATCTTTCCTACTCTGAAGTGTCATGATTGAACCAGAAAGAGCATGCCAAAGAGATCATAGTAACTTTTTCAATCCTGACAGAGAATCTTTTACATTGGGATACTCGTCTTCCCCGTCTTACCTTATTTTTCGTCATTGCACCAACAATGATAGGGCAAACCATTCCCGACAGTGTGCCAACACCATTTGAAATGCCCATTAGGATACTGGCATATCTTGGAGCAATATCCAAGTGGTTCACATTGAAGCCTGGAATACACACATAAACACTGACTCAGGGAATCTTAAACCGCTTCAGGGTAGGCACTTAGAGTATTACATAGCACTTCTTAGAAGATACTGGGGACATAGCATGTGCTTAATGACTACATTTTGATAATTTAGCTCAGGGATACAGTGAGAATGGAATGAGGTACAATTTTTTGTCCAATAGTGATGTGATGCCTGCTGGATGTAGTGGGGGAGATACTCTCTTAACACAACAAGCAATCCCCAACAATAAAGAGCAAAAGAGTTACCTTGGGGGAGCAGCGAGCAGCAACAAATGTAAGCAATTTTTCTAAGTGTTTTCATTGTTATTCAGTTATTATATATGAATACAATCACCAGTCACAATTAGGATGTTGCACATATAGGAATTAAAGTATCTTACCAGATATAGCAAATCCACTGAATCCCACTGCGAGTACCAAGAATGAGATGGCTACCCCTCTAGTATGAGAGTAACCAACCACCAGCAGCAGCGTGGCTTCCATTCCAAAACCTTCAGGAGCAAGCAGATGGAAACACTTTGCAAAATTTTGCAATTCTCACCAATGAGCTAACACTGCTAACAGTTCTCATACTTATGGGCCTACACAATCCTAAGAAAACCTATACTAAAGTACAAAAATTAACACTAATTTTCTATGCTGGAGTTTACTGAAACTTGCTCAATATATTGTTATGAAAATGTTGGAATCAACCTACATTTTCAATGGTAGGAAAGTTGTTAATTACAATAAATAGAAATGGTATTATGCAGTGATTTAAAACAAAGAGTTGTGGAAAATTTGAACCAAGATGAGAAAATGATTTGAAATCAACAATGAGGGCGTAGATGTAACTAAGCATTTCGACACGCTGTAAAACTTATTCACCCTTGTGTATTTGAACTTACTGAACTGGAAGCATGTCCTGCCTGTCATGTGCACACTTACCACCGCAGTTCATGATCTTCCTCACCGTAGTTGTCGAAAGGATTTGCTTGCTTCTTAGAAAATCTGCAATTTGTCCTCCAATAGGCACAATGATTGTCATGACTAAATGGGGCACAGCAGACAGCATACCGACCTGACGAAAAATAAGAGCGGGGAGATGTACCCCAAGGGGGATAAGTCGGGAACTTAATCAGCTTGGTTTTCTAAATCCATCATCCACTCCTTATGAGCAGAGGAAGGCAAAGATTGTCTCCACATGACTCTGTTCTCATTCCTAGAACAACCAGCAACTTCCATAGAGTGATAAAAGCTAAGTCAGTTTGCTTTGACTCCTTTTTGCCTTCTTGATGAAGGAAAATTTTTACTGCTCTTATGAGTCAGCAAATTTTGAGCTCATGAATTAACTATCCTGAGTCTATCACTGAGTCATTCAACACTTACGTGTTCATTTTATATTCATCAGTGTATTCCCATAAACCATCATTCAGGAAACCAAGGAAATGGGGGAAGAAGAGCTATGAGGAGGAAAAGTCCATTTGATATGCCTTTAAAGGTTGTATTTTAAAACTCATTTTTAATTCATAAGACTAAGAACTGCACACTTGCATTTTTATATATACTTATATATATATATATATAATAAACATTGCATGTATTTAATTGCACCAGAGTAAAGGTTCACATAATGCAGATCAGTTATTAAATTTTACATATTTCTTGTCAAATGTTAATATGTAGTCATGTTGTCATGCAGTGGTGTACAGACTCTGAACCAATGTCCTGGGACTTAGCCCAATCTAAAATCTACCCAGCAAGCATCAATGTGGCACACATTTCTCACCATTAATTATGTAGAGACCATAGTTCTAGATGCAGGAGGAGCAGGAAGTGTGAATAAACTTCATTTAAATAGAGTATTATCACCTCTACGGACCTAGCCAACTCTACGTGCAAACATATAACAGGGAAGTTTTTCATGAAGTGTACTTTGAAGTCCAATCTTTGGCATATGACAAGTACTAGTCAGGTGTTTTTTGTGATTAAGTATGTCTTTCTGCAGCTGTAAGCAGAAACACCACAACAACACCCAGGATTTGGAAGCAGATCTATTTATATCGACAGGATCATTCCCAGAATATCAGGCCCTGATCTCTGGTGGTCTAGGACTTCTGTGGGATAAGCAAGCAGGAAGTACAGAGGCAGAATGGCTTGTCAGTTGGGGACTGGTTTATACAGTGCACATCACAGTGATCAGTCATTTCTAAGAGACAGGAGCAACCAGAACTGGAACAAGAACCATTACCTGGGTTAACTAAGAAAAAGAAGTATACTGGCGGGGGCATTTTCTGTTACATTTCCAAAAAGATTACCAAAAGATTCTATTTTCTTTTACGGGGGTGTATAGAGTGTAGTGTCGCAATCATGCAGCTGGATTTTTGTAATGACTGAGACAGAGAATGACTAAGATATGAATGACTTTGATGTGTAGGCTATTGAATTCTTCCACCACAGAGGGAATTGTCAAAATATTATTATTAGATGAAGAACTAGGGATTTGGACTGGATGCACAGTTGTCAGAGGCAAGTTTTAAGCTAGTTCTACCTGTGTGCAAAGACTGAGCTCAGACCTTGGGTTCTAAACATCGGTGCCAGCAGCAAAACGAAGAAAAATTAATATAAACAGACAATACATGTGAATGTGCTCAGTTAAGTTCAAATCTGGTATTTAATAAGGGCTGAACAAATGTGAGACAAATAAAGATATAATATAATTTGACCTTAGGGCAAACATTATTGCTTTTGAGATAAACACCTTGAAAAAATACATTGCTTCTCCATTTTTCTGTTAGTACACGCTTGCGAAGCATAACGACTATCATCAACATTTATCACCCACCATTGGACACACAAATGCACGTCCTCATCCTGTTACTCCTCCTTCATCTCCTCTCTCTTCTCCTGCCACCTACGGATTCTCTTCCCACGCAGCAAAGGTCCATCTCCCTATTCTTAGAGTTTTATTTTGCTCTTTAAATGATTTACATTTTGGTTTTTTCATATAAAAGAAATTATGGAATATTTAACCTCCTGTGCCTGGTTTATTTTGCTTAGCATTATTATCTCAAGGTGCATCCAATATCATACAAAGGACTCAAATTTATCCTTCTCGATAGTTGAGCAGTACTCCATGGTGTATAAATACCACATTTTCTTTATCCATTCATCTGTAGATGAACATATTGGCCATTTCCACAATTTAGGCATTATGAATTATGCTGCAAATATAGGTTACTTTTCTTAATTGCAAAGGATATGTTTCATGGAATTAATATGTTTTTAAAAACACTGGAAAAAACATTCTACAATGCAGTGTGCCATGGAATGTTTGTTATTGTTGTTGTTTTGAGACAAAGTCTCATTCTATAGTTCAGGCTGGTCTTGAACTCATTACATAACCCAAGCTGGCCTCGAACTTGTGATGATCCTCCTGCCTCAGCCTCTTGAGTGCTGGGGTTATAGGAGTGCACCAATATGACCAACTGCATTGTGTTTTTAATAATCATAAAAGCAGGCTAAAAGCTTGAGAGAGGCTGCATTTTCCAAGCTCACATGATTAACTTGCATTTGACTCAGTATTTGACACATCTGAAAAATTCTTAACTTGAACATCCCGCTATTTATTATCTACTTAAATAAGTATTTTATTCTTGCAATATACTAAGAACAAAAATATGATTATCATTCATTTATTGTTTTCTACAAAATATGTTACAAAACATACCAGGAAATGCAAGGAAATGACAAATTGGAAGCTAAAAGAGACAGAAGTTTTGGAATACTTTTACCCATAAAATTCACACTGCAAGGTCTAGAAACTCCTAGTTTCTTAGACAATAGTAGATATCAGCTGTGCGTGACCTTGACAGGGCTGCTGAAGTTCCACAGTCTCGTGGAAGGTGATCAAATGTCTCCTTAGCTTTCAGGGACATAAACCATCACTTGCCACATGATGAGAATTATCAAACCTTTCTGTCAGCCTCATTATTTATGATAATCACACACCAATTGCCTCATTATTTGAAGGTTTTGCAAGAATAAGCTACATATTTCAAGTCCATCACTGATTCCTTATAGACACTCCAGGTCACTATACCTTGCCTACGCCTTCCTTTTCCTCTGGATCATGGTTTGGACTGTGTATCTCACTATTTTATATACATTCTGCTCAAAAATTTGCAGGCTGCATAGCAATAAAGAGCAGCTAGTGAGCGCTGTTCTCCTCTTCCCCTACATATGCAATTGAAAAGATATGAAGCTCCCGCTCCTCTGGCTGGTTCCTATGTTCTGATCATTCAAAGTGCTTATTCATCATCGGATTGACCTTACCCTGATATACCACTCTCAAAGGGGCTGAACAGTTTCACATTTTAGCATAGGAAAATATATTATACATACGTGTTAGCTAATACAGTTCATTTACATAGCTAATTTATATATACTTAACTAAAAATAGCTAACATAGTATATATAAAAATATATATTATATCATTTATATACATAAACATACATATATATGCTTTCCAGTTGTAGGATGTCCAATTTAATGGTAACGCTGGAAAACAATCTTCAGTGTAAGTATTCCATTTCATTTAAAATGTGCTACACTCATGAAAGATGATATTAATATCATTATTCTAAAATACAAAACCCGAGGCTGAGAATGATCCCAAAAGTAGCCTGAAGTTGCTTCCCAGTGTTCACTGTAGAGCCTGGATCGGAACCACGCCAGCCCAGATCCACAGCTCCTGCTGTGTTCTCCACCTCTCCCTTCCCACCCTCTTCAGTGAAATCAGACTATTTCTATTTATACCAATCTAATCAAAATCTCAAGATCAACCTATGAGTATAGAATTTACCCAGAACCTTAGTTTAAAATGTAACAGGAGATTCAAATCAACAAATCTATTCGATTTAGATTTTGCAAAATATCACTGATTTTCCTCAAGCATTTTCTATTAATTGGAGGGGCACGGCCAACATGAGCACACACTTTCATTAATATACACTGGCTCCACTTTGAAGATATCAATATGTAATACAACCACCATTGTTAATTCCCTACCACTTTGTTTGTAACTCTGTATTGTATTTATTGTGCTTGTGATATGTTGTAAAATGTTGTATGTCTGTTAATGTTTCCCTCCTTTTACTATTAAAATAAAAAAAAAAAAGAAAAAATATACACTGGCTCCTTCACTCTCCCCCTGTAAGACCTGGCTTCACTAACAGCCTCTTGGTGTCAGATTTGTCCTAGGTTATGAACACGGACTCACACATCCAGCAGCAGCCTTTGTGCAGAAGTGTAACACCTCTCAGCGCTCCCAAAGGCCACCCTGTAATGTTTGATCAGGTCCAGCGAGAACAGCCCTGACTAAAGCATTCATTCTTCTTAGAGAGGAAACAGTTCCCTTAGAAACAAGGATCACAAAAGAGCTCTTAGAATAGCTACTCCTAAATCCAGGTTTTCTCAGTCCCAGCCCTCAGATACTCTTTTTAATAGAGACACAATATGAAGAGCAGGAGCCCAGCCGGACTTAGGTAACAACATGAAGAGAATGGCCAAGACCATCGCCAGCCCCAGACAAGTGTATTCTCTCAGCAAACAGCTTGGCACAGACAGAGCATTCAATAAATACACACTAAGTGCTTGGATGGGTCTCAGGTTTACCTGCATTTGAATGGCAACCTAAAGGGAATTTAAATGGAATTCAAAAGATCAAGGCATACTCTTGATTCTATCACTTATTACTGTCACGCCTGTAGGTAATTTAAATCATTTCCATTATTTCTGTTTGCCCTATCTGTTGGACAGAAATGATGACAGTCATCTCGCTGGTCAGCCAAAGTTGTCCATGAATATGAAAGGACCATCTAAATTCCAAATATCTATATAAAGTTATATTTTTAAGTTAATTTTCTTCTTATAGAAAATGTGAGATGATTATATTTCCATAACAAGGAACCAATGTCAGTGGCACTTAGCATTCTGTGATGGGTAACAGTTTTTTGTGTATACCACCAAACTGTGAAGATTTTGGGATAGAAACCATGCTTTTACCTCTGAATCTATCACAAAGTTTCACCTACTATGCTCAACAAATGCCTTCTAAATTAAAAAATGGGGAAAAAAATACAACAACATTTTGTGCAGATTATTCTAATTGTTGGTTGTAAAGCTGTATGTGAGAACTTTGAATAAGAGTTCAATTGATAATTATCTAAGTGCATCTCCACTTGAATAGAATACCTTTTTTTCATTGTTATGTAATAGCTGACTTGACATCTAAATTAAATTATGTTTATTTAGAGGAAAAGGTCTACACTATTGCTCACTGATTGAGATGTAAATTCCAAAAATGCAGAGACTAAATTTATTTTGTATGTATTCCCCACTCTGCAAGGCAATTTACAGCAGACAATAGGATACAGTAGGACACTCCCAGCAGTTATACGTTGAATGAAGAAATAACTCATGAAGCTTGGAAAACAAACTTATGGTGTAAGAACAAAATGTCTATTTAAATATTTAAAAATCACCCACTATTTGAATAAGGTCAGTTTTACATACCTTACTGATTTCAAATCCAAAGACTTCCTCAAAATATGCCGGCTGACTAATAAGCAATAAATAAAAAGTCCAGCTTCTGCAGAAGTTCGCAACAATTATTGCATAGACTGGCATAGATGTGAAAAATTTCCTCCATGGAGTCTTGAATTTCTGAAATTCCAGAAAGAGAGTCAGTCTAATCATTTTTAGTATTTTCTATTTTAAATGGAAACAAATACTTTATATTTTCAAGATGTAGATGAGGGGGATGAGTTGGTGGTAGGCAAATGATAATGAGTTGATAATTATAACCACCCAGTTCACTTTCACTATCTGAATAACTGCTGAATAAGAAAAATAAAATACCAGTCTCTCCTGATTAAATCATTCCAGCATTAAGAATATGCAAAATTCCAAATATACAGAAAATTCCAAAAGTATAAATTACAGTTTCTAAGTTACTTTAGTATTTTTCAGGTACCCACTGTCACGTGAGTTCTTATAACCAAAATATTTCATTTAAAATATTGAAAATTCAATATATTTGGTAGGAAGAAGATAAGAAATACAAAGAATAAATGCCCCAAGATCCTCTTGGCATGATTTATGCCAATACCTACCTATAAGTTCTCTTGACAAGTAATGATACTAAAATGTTCTACGATAGTGGGGTAGAAGGTCCTACAAAAGTCACGCTGTGTGCAGTCCGGTTAAAGCACTCATGCCCATTACACCTTTGATGCATCATGGGTAAAGCGATTTCTTTTCTTTGTTGTTCTTTTTCTGGCAGTGGGTATTGGGAATCAAAGTTAGGACCTCATGCTTGCCAGGCAGGTGCTGTACCGCTGAGCTAAACCCTCAGCCCCAAGATAAAGTGTTTTACTTATAATCTTCAAGACATTCAAAATTAGCAACATAAATATGGCTGACTTTGCTTATTGTTACCTATGAAAATTAAACCTAGTATACATACGTACTTCAGAACTGAAAATACCCTTCACATGCCCAAATACTTGCACAATTGTTTTGAATACCACAATATAATTTGGTAAAATAAGCATAGCTTAAAATAATTTTATTTACTCTTTCCTTAAGATCTTGACATGACCAAATACCAAAAGAGGAGGTAGCCATATTTCTACTGAAGAATTTTTTTAAAAAATTTAATTAGTGTACATGAGTAAAAGAGAATTCATCTTGGGAATTAGGTACTTATCCTTAACATACCTTGATCATTTAATATTATATCACCTCTGCTCCCTTTCCTCTCTCTTCCTCATCCCCTTTTTTCAAATGCAGATTTAGTAATTATTGCTGGATGTGTGACCTCATATTGCCAACATTATTGTGGCTGTAATTAATTTCTTTGTTTGAGACCACTACAGTGGTACCTCAGTACGTGAACTCAATTCTCTCCACGGTCCTGGTCACAAACCACACTGGATGAGAACAGAATCAAATTTCCGCATAAAGTCAACACTGAACCTAACTGTTCAATCTGATTCAGTTCTCTTCCACCTCTGTTTGCGACCAGTGTTATGGAAAGAATCAAGTTCATGAACCAAGGTACCACTTTACTAGCTATGCAGCTCAGGCTGACCTCCCGCTCAGGACCCTCCCACTTCAGTTTCATGAATGCTGGGATAATGGGCATGCACTACCACATCCAGCTCCACTCAGCTTTTCAAAGATCACTTTAAAAGCAATACAGTAACAAGTTATATTGTGCTGGCTACATATATATGGAAAACAAAAAGAAGCAAAAGAAAACACCCTAGTAGTACACAATGAGTATTGTGGTATTGGGTAAAATTTCTAGTAACAATATGATAGGCAGGTTCAAAACAGATAGTTTGTAAAATAATTAAATATGTTCAGCAAAATGGTGCCAAATGAAAATACTTATGCCACCGATAAGAAATGACCAGAAAAAATATTAGACGTAAATAATGTTTCCCAGCTGGGAAAGTGTTCCTTTAAGCATAACAGGATCATCTTCCCAAAAGATGACATCACAGAGGAGAAAACCTTTCTCTTCAGTTGATACAGCATTTCATTAAGTGTAAAAGTATCTGATTTTATACTATAAAAAATGGGGAGAGCTGGAGGTGGGCGTATACGGTAGATTGACACCATATTATTTATTGAATTGGTTGTGCACTTCACAGATATGTTTATTTAAGTTCAGCTGTCTATTTAAAACAGAGCCAGGAATGATGATGCACGCCTGTAATCCCAGCACTTGGGAGGCTGAGGCAGGAGGACTTTGTGAGTTGGAGACCATCCTCGGCTACACAGTGAGCTCGAGGCCAGGCTGAACTGCATAGTGAGACCCCGTTTCAAAACAACCAAAAGAAAAAAAAAAAAAAAGACAAAGCTGTGCATTTTTCTGTACTCATGTTACATTTCAATGCACTTTAAAAGTTAAAAACAACAGGTCTGGGGATATAGTTCAGCAGCACAGCACCTGCCTGACAAAGACAAGATCCTGAGTTTGATTCTTGGTACCCAAATAAATAAATAAATAAATGAAAACAACAAAAAAGATTTAAAAGCCATTGTCAGTTACAACCTGTGAGTCTAAAATGGATCCAGATGAAAAACACATGGCTACAAAAGAATATGAAAATAGATGAGGTATTAGAATATGGAGTAGATATTAGAAATCTGAATGTCATCTAGACATTAGGTGACGTTAGGTAATTGCTCTACTTGTATCAGATCTTTTAAACTACTGATATTACAAAGCAGAATACTATTTTTCTAGAGATACATGTGAATTATTTATGTATGGGTAAAGCGTTTTATTTTGAGATAGCTCAGCAAACAAAAGTGAAATAAATGACAAGATGCTCCCGATTTTTGCACCTGTATGCTATGAAGTTATTCCGAGTAGGGTCCCCTTTTTTTCCAGATTTCTGTATCTTGTTTGAGAAATAGTTACCCCTTGTGGACCTAGCCACTTGCATAGTTTTCAAAAGAGTCTGAAGCCAAGCCCAAACTTGGGTTCACTGTAAAGCTGTAAGATCTTAGGAAAAAGCAGAAGAAGGAATATATTGCATTTGAAAAAAAACATAGGTATAGGAAATGGAGAGTTGGATTTTATGCTGCTTTATCAACCTACTTCTTATTCTTTTAGGGTTTATTTCTGGGAACTTGGAGTCATAGAATAAAGTTCTGATTTTTTTAAAAATCTATGCTTGATCTAGACATGTGATCGCTCAAGAACTGAAAAATGAAGAAAAGTAACATATTACTGAGAGGACAAAGGCTGATCCACATTTTCTTTGGGGGCAGGGCTGTAGAAATAAAGGCTACGTTGAGAACTAGTCATAGGACAGCCTATGTTTAGCTTCTGCTTACAGTAACTGCAGGTGGTAGACACAAGGGTACACTTTACCAGTCCTATTCTACCTTCACATTCTTACTTGCTGCTTGGCTAGACACCATTAGAAAGTAATTATCAAGCCAGCCAAAGAAGGAAACACAAAGTGGAAGTTTATTGCCAATCTATCTCATCCATGCAACAGCTACCATGTAAGGACTTAAAAAAACTGAAGACTTCACTTCCGAATGATTTCCAATATGGGACATTTCTTATTCATTACAAATCAAAGTAAGCTCAGTAATGATGAATGGCAGACTTTTCTGTCTAGATGACATGAAAAAGGCAAACATTTTCTAACAAATAAATTAGAAAATCACAGTTGAAATCAAACATAGTCAGAATGAGTAAGGGAGCATTTAAAAATAAACAGGAGAGGTAGAAAGTATAAAGGATCTTGGCACCTCAACCCGGGAATTATACTTTCCAACCCTTAGTATAAGGAAATACAGCTATTAGAATACAGAACACTGGGGCTGGGGATTTAGCTCAGCGGCAAAAGCGCCTGCCTGGCAAGCGCAAGGTCGTGAGTTTGGTTCCCGGTACCGGAGAAAAACCAAAAATGTGAGTGTGCGTGTGTTGTGCATGTGCGCATACACAAGGATTGAGGGAATATGGGAAGGAAACAAAAAAAAAAAAAAAAATAGAATACAGAACACTGCTTTTGCTAAAGAGTATTTAGAAATTATATTAAGTGACTTAATTAATTTTTATGTATTGCATATTAATGACACATGGAATAAAATATTTGTATTATTGAAAGAGAATGGTATTTTTGTTCTCCATAGGCCATCCTCCCAAAGAAACCAAATCCAAAGAAAAACACTTTACAATATTATATTTAGAAGCCACAGCATTCATAATAATAATTTCTTACACTTTTATAGTGGCATATTTTGAGATGCATAATGATAACATTGATCATAGGGAATTTGTACCTGTATGTGATACATTTTGCTCATTCTTTTTTCCCACCCCCCCTCCCTTCATCCCCTCTCCCTCTCATTATTTGCAAAAGCTTTGTTTCCGGTTTTTCTTTCTATTCTCTTTTGTTTTCTTTCTATTCCCTCCTTTGTTCCCCTTCTCATTTGGATATTTCTTTCCCATCTCCCCATTTTTAAAAATGATGATATTTCATCAATTAAAAAAATAAAAATATGTTAATAATATTACCCATGTAAGGTATTACAGCCTTCTAATTCTTCAATGTTTCCTGAATCACGTATAACAAGTCTGAAGTTAGAATATATATTAAGCAAAAATAGCCATTGTCATGACCAATTGGAGTCTTCCTATTACTTACAATTAACATATTGGTTCAATTTGCTTAAAATGTGTACCATAGAAAGCTATTTTTGAAAACTTGCTTAGCTTTGTAGTCAAACTTTAAAAGCTAAGGCAGATTTTAGGATGCTTAAGAAAAAATAGAGAAAAAAATTACAGATGAAGGAAGTAGCAGTCATTCCTAAGTAAGTGAGGAATATGGATAGACAAAAAAGAAAAAAATGAGTGATACCAAATTAGTTTGAGTACATAAGAACTTATCAAATAGCTTGGTTCATCAAGGAGCATGAGATGGGAAAAACGAGAAATATACACCATAATAAAGTTCTTACTTCCATTGCACCTAATAGATTTGCACTCTCTCCAATGCTTTCTTCTATGTACCTACGTTCTTCATCTGTAATAGTGGGGTGCTTTGCAGGGCTCTCGTAAGACACCAAAAGCCAAAACATGTACCAGACCATCCCAAAACTTCCTGCAAGAAACAGAGCAAAAGAGGAAGTGAACGAAAGCTATCAGACATATTTGCACCTAGGAGTTACATGCTGAAATAAAGCTGTAAGAGCCTCATGACAAACACAGTCTGCATGAAAGAGAATTTGGTTTTATGTTTATCCAACTGATTTTGGCCTTTTTGCCTTCTCCTTTGCACAAGACGTCAAGCTACCTGAAGGCTAGTCCTGTGGGTTTATCTCTGTCTCCGTTGAACAACACTGGTACACACGAAACTCACAGTAACTAACTATGGAAGATTTAGGAAGATTTTCTCAGGTCCAACAAACACTGAGAAGCTCCTATTCCAGATGCCTGGCTAAGTGGGTGAAATATAATGAACAAGGAAAGTCTTGTCCTCAAAAGAATATTTTAGGATGATTCCTTTACTTATTTTTTTTCTCCTAGAATATATTAAAATGGTCATCATTCCCAAAGGAAAATAATGTTCATTCCATTTCTTTGTACACCAACCTACTAAGCAGAATACTAAATAAAACACAGAAGATTATTTTATCCTTAATCACTGTATTCTGTGAAAAAGGAGGCTCTGTAATTAGTGTTGTAATATTTTATACTATATGTATCTGTATAATATGTAATTTTGTGCATATACCATTGCCTATTGCATAGTCTTTGGGCAGATGAAAGTTAGAAATTCAAACTGCACAATTTCTGTTCATGCTTCTCTTTATTTAGCACTGTAAATATTAAAACATGTACTTATTACACAATATAAATCAGTGAGTATTAATACAAATGTCTTAGTTACTTTTCTCTTGTTGCTGAGACAAAATGCCCAACACCCGAAATTAAAGTGAGGAAAGGTGTATTTAGCACACAGTCTAGAGGTTTCAGTCCATAACTGGCTGGTTTCAAGGCAGGGTGGCACATGGCAGAGGAGCCACAGTTCATGGCAGTGGAAGACAGCAAAAGCAATAAGGAAGAGAAAGACACCAAGCCCCTTTCTGTCCCTTACACTGTATCCAGCAATCACCCAGCCTTAATCCCAGCATTGCACTAGGAGCCAGTCACACACTCCAGATTCAGCCACCAGTGGAAAAACCTCTGTGACCACCTGAGGCTTTGGGGGCACATCTAGACTTTTTTTTTTTTTTTGCCTTCTGAATCTCTAGGAAATGTTCTTAATACTGTACACAGCTTGCAATGTCCTGCACTCCTTTGAATTACTGAACCTGCAAGCAAACATGATTTGGATCCAGTGTGTGAAAACGTGGTATAATGTAGTGGTTATAAAATGGGACTCTACCCGCATTTATATTCTAGCTTTCTCTCCTGAGCAATACGATCCAATCTGTAACACACCCTCTCTAAACTCTCACTATGCAATGGCATAATAAATCATTTGATGGAATTGTGGCAAAGAAAAGTTAAAAGAGATAATGTATAAATAAACCAGCACACTGGATGGCATAAATTAAGCACCTAATAAGCACGAGTTCTGGTAATTCAGTCGTAATCATCATTACCATTAACAAAATTTATCTGAGGTGCCATGCCCTCTGCTAATTGCTTTGTGTGCATTATCATTTTCAATTTATACTACTATACAAGTTTTAGCTCATTAATTTTTAAAACTTAAATATTCAAGCTATAGCTCAAGAGCCATTTTTGTTACAGAGAGCAAGTGAGCAAGTACTATGATTTTTTACATGAACTAATATTTACATCTTGACTTTATATCAATTGCTGATAAATATTCAATGAGAAATAACTTGAAATACTGATACTAATTTTAAATCAATACCTTTTTAAAATTAACATACTTTTCCCCCTTAAGAATGATCAAGCTTTGAAGGATATATTTAGTATTTAAAGTCATATTACAACTTCAATTAAGTAATGAACTACAGCACAAACCAGAGGACTTGATGACAGATAAACTAATTTTTATTTTCCTTACAAGTAAGTGCCTTTAACTTTGTTGAATTATGGATCCTTAGGAAAATCTAATGAAAAGTGTGAATTAAAACCTCAAAGCAAAGGTACCTTTAGAAAATTGTGTGTAAATACACACATGGTTTAATATTTAGGACATTCGTGAATCCAACACCCATCAATGGCCTGTGAGCTTCCAAAGAGCCACATTACAAAGTAATATTTAATGAGCTTCTGTACAAGCAGCATTTGTTCTGAGAACATTTCAAAATGGGGATGAGTTAAGGTAACACTGGAGGCATACAGACACTCTCCTATGACTGTACTCTTCTAGGACTTCAATAATATTCCATCCTCTCAGGCCCATATCCCAAAATCATGTTAATCATTGACAATATGTTTGAATCCAGTTCCAATATTTCTTCTTTCTGCATTATCACCAAGTCAGTCTTGCAAAGACAGACTTTAGGGGAACTTTTAAGTGCTACGATTGCAGCTCTTGCCAGTACATTTAGATTTAGGGTTTCATTTTTTATTTCTAAATCAGGGCTTAATTGCCTTCAATTTGAGGGAGGCAAAGACTAAGAAAGATATGCTGCTGTGACACCTGATTATGGATATTTCATCACAAAATGGAATCATAACATCACACTGCTCCCCCTTTCTGTTTTCCACCCCGTTCACCCTTAAGGTGGCAGAGCCAGGGAAATGACCCAGAAGAAGAGCAAAAGAGGCGGGTGGGCTGCTGTTTACCTCTTTCCACCTCATATTTTCTCTTTTTTTTCAAATAAGAAAAGGATTCGTAAGATGTGAAAATAAATGAGGAAACACAGAAATCTATTCAGCAATCTATTTCACTGTCTGTAACTTTGTGTCTTTTAGCCTGTGCACATCGCCTTTAACCCTGACAGAAGGAAATACAACGTACCGTAGACGTAGAACACTGAAGACCACCCAGTGTACTGTACAAGAATGCCAGCCAGAGGCATGGCAATCACAGCTCCAGCATAGGAACCTAGGGCACAAGGGACAATGGGATGAAAGTGCGTGAAATCAATAGAAATTTTGATTTCATGTCATATTTGGGGGTTTGTTCCCACAAATGAGCTCTCTGGTGCATGTATGCCACATCCACACATCCACCCTGACCAAACATGTATGTGCTTACTGACTTACAAGGGGCACAGTGACCCCACGGTGACTAGCACCACCAAGCCAAGACAGAACAGAGATTATAACAGTATGAACGAGTCATACTGGCTGCTGTGTACCCTGCATGGCTACGTGCTAGGCTGGGGACACTTTTAATACCAGCCAGGCACTCAAAAGTCATTCTTGAAACTCAAGTGTGTATCTCTTTATAGCAGAGCCACGCATTTTAGATTTGTGTGGTGTTTTATAGCTCATTTTAAAACTTATTAAAGGCTATTGTGAAAACAATGTCTTAGGTATATAAACCGAAAAATGGTCATCTTTGTGCCCCATACCTTAAGCCCAGATGATTTCAAATCGAACATCTAAAGATAATGCTAATACCAATCATTATTATGGTTTGGATATAAAGGAAAAATAGCCTAATTTTCTGTTGGTAAGATTATTTGCTGTAGTTCTAGTCCCTGGGTGTTAAAATAGGTTTATATTCAGTCTTGTTCTACTCTGGAAAGAAGTGGCCTTCTTGCCTTACAGCTCAGGTACAGAAATGGAAAACACTCTGCAGACAAAAAAGAACATGACCTTAAATCACTTCTTAAATGATTTTCTTAAAACATTTAAAAGTTAGCAGTGAACCACAGTGTCATATTAACCAAAAGAGCTATGCACTTCACATTTTTAGACTGAAGTTTAATAAATGTATATTAATTTTGTTTCCTAAGTAGCAGCAAGATCAGTTTTATTTCTATAAGTTAAAGTTTTAATAAACAGAAACTAAGGTAATAATACTTACAAGAATAGTTTAAGAGCATGTTGATTTTAGTTATAATAGCTATTTTGTATGGGCTATGATTTGGATATCCTCCATTTGCCCACTATAATTATAATATATGTTGTATCAAGTATAAATTCTAATAAATTGTTAGATATAATACCCAATAGGACTGAAAGAAAAATCAGTGTTTTAACATTACCATAAGTCAACAGTCTTCATTTCTTCATATTTTTATCTTTGTGAATGAGCTAAAACTTATATTATTTGTTTTATGTAATTTGTTTTCGTCTAACAAAAAGGAATAGAACTGAGATTCTCAAAAAGTTATAGAAACCTCCCATAAATCTATTTGAAAATTTAGATGAAATGAATCAACTCCTAGAAAAATATAAAGCGCACAACATGTAGGAGATCACAAATTGCTAAAGAAATTGCAATGGTGCTTGAAAAACTTACCCTACGTCAAACTCCAATAGTTTTAAAGGTGAGTTCACCAAAATTTCAGTTCTTACCAAGTTTTTGCTGAGCTTTCATCCAGCATAATCACATGGGCACCCAACACTCACCACAGAAGGAGGTGGTGGCCAGCCTGCTCCTCTCCAGCGGAGGGGCCCATTTGCTCCAAATCCCGTGGCATGCTGGGTAGGTGACACCCTGTGCCGGGGAAGGTAAACATCACCTTTTAAAATGCAAGGTCAAAGGAAAATAAGACCACTGCTACCTTCCAAGTGGCTCTGTCCATAGGATGGTCACAGGGTGTTAGACACAGCTCCTCCTCATGGGCCCTCAATGACTTCCTGAAGTTCCATTGTGAGAACTTTCAGTCCAAACCATGTGTGACATGGTCTGTTTAGTGACCAGTTCAAATTCTCCCCACCCTTCAGGTCTTCCTTCCACCCTACATTCCTTCAGGTTAACGCAGAAAGGCAGAACTTATTTCTCAAGTTGTCTGAAATTCTCAGTAGATTGGAAAATTTGGAAGACCTTTCTGTGAGGCACTAAACAGTGATTTTCCTCCAAAAACAGAGGTTAGATGAGGATGAGATTTTAGGCACTTACATTTCTTAGAAGAAGAGTCTGGAACTTATGACATTTAAAATAACTCCCTGGTTTCTATTAGTTTGATCATATCATTTTTTTCTTTCTTGAAGGTTTTTTCCAGTGCCTTAATATATATTTCCATTTCCACCATAATCCATAGAAAGAAAGTGGCAATAGTTACTTCAAACTTATTTTTCAGATGATATTCTTTCAAAATCCACAAGATGATGCAAACAGAAGCCAATCAGTAGATATAGATGCCCAAAGAGTATACCCAGTGGGATATTTCAATGGGAGCATATGATGGCTAAAGGACATCGGGGACTTGGTATACGACTCCCACAGACTGTGGACCAGTGTAGAGTACTTCCCTAGCATGCATGAAGTCCTGGGTTCAATTCTCAAACATATGATTGCCTAACACTTCCAATGTTTCATTTTTTACTCTAACAGTAAATGGTATAATTTAGAGATGTTTATTTATAGAAGACAGAGATAAATTGTTGGCTTTTGGTAACACACAAATTTGAAATGACATCATCCTATAGTTCCATACCTCAACGAGTCCCTGCAGTATCCTAACGAAGATGACACATCCATAGTGCACTCTGGCTGCTGATGGGATTAGCATGTTTAGGGTGGAGGTGAGAAGGATGGCAGCTCCAAACACCCTGAAATAGAAAAGATTGAACGCTGTTTTGTCTCAGCATTTTATAGACACGGATCTAAATTTCACGTGTCAAGAGTAACATGTAAGGGAATCAACAATAACTAGCTATTTAAGGTAGTGCTTTTATGAAATAATAAAATATATTCTGGACTTGACTGGCTGGCCATTATAAATGCATATTTTAAGCATCTAAAAGTTATATATATTACCTGATACATAAAAAGTAAAGGAAGGACCTGACAAATCTGGTCATACTTACTTTTTTCATAGACCTAATTACAGTTTGAAAATACTTAATGAATCATCATATATGTGCTTTGTCCAGATTTCTGACTACAGTGTAAGCTTTTTAAGGACAAAATCCTGCTCTTCACATTAATTGTAGCCTCAGCACTTAGTGCAGTGCTCACTACACAGCTGGAACTCTTTGAAGAGTTGTTGAAAAAAAATAATGAATGCATAAACAGAGTTCTGAGTCATATTATACAATGTGGCAACTTCTCTACAAGCTACATGCACTTGGAAATTTTATAAAGACAATTGTATCCTAAATGTCCCCAGGAAAAACTCATGATTAGATCTCATAACATGTTTTCATAATACAAATTACTATACTTAACGTATCTCTCTCAGTTTTATTTCTTCTTGTTTCTGCCTTTCCTTTCCCCTTTCTTTCTTCCCTTTTTCAGAAGTAGAAGAGTAGGGGTGTACCTTGAGACACACCTCCGACATCGTGAGCATGTGCAACTCCAGAAATAATTGTAGTGAGTAAGTTTTCTATTCCATTCCATGATTTTCTTTTTAAAAGGTCTCCTAGAGTTTTCCCATTAAGGAAGAAAAAAATGCCCTCTCAATGTGAGAATTTTAGAACTACTCTCCTGAAGATATGTTTTGGGGAGATACTGTCTCTAATGAACCAATCTGTTTTGATAAAGTTTCATTGAATCATAAACTGATCTGTGAATTCAAAGTTGACTGCTTCACACAAGCTCTAGTTTACCTACAGACTCATTTCAATCTAACTATTAAAAACCTGAGATTCTTTTTTCCGTGGTAACCTTGTTATTATTTTTTTTCCATTGGTACATGTTTGCAGAACAAGCGGTTTACAATTGTCTTGGGGAGTGAGTATTGTACATGTACATATTATCATTTGTTTCTTTCTTTCTTCCCTTTCCCCTACCTCTCTCCTCCTTTAATTCCCCATTTGTCATTTTCTTTCTTGTTGATATTATTAACCTTAGCTCATGTTGACCTCATGTAATATTTATATTCACTGGGGTTATTAGGATCCTATATATGACATACCTTTATTCTAGACCTGGGCTTCTGAGATGGGCTTTGGTTAGTGTTAATTTGATACTGAAATTTGATAAAAGTTTTTGTGAAAGACAGCTCTTTTTTTCTAAAATCAATCATAGATGTAGTCAAATACTTTTGTGTAAAAATATGTGCAGGCTCTGTCCACCTTCCTTTGGGGCTTTCTCCACTGAGGTGGTCACTCATCACCTAAATATTCTGCTTCTTTTTCCCTCGGTCATGTGTACTGAATGGATACCTTTGGTTTTAAATCAAATATGACACTTCATACTAAGATTTAAGGAAAAAGTTTTTTTAGTCTAAGTTTATGTAACATCTGTGCCTTTTTATAATTCTTTTAGAGCTGTGATGTATAAATTTTATTTTCCATGAATATCACTGTTAGAATTTTCTTCCTTTTAGAAACATTTTCAGTAGAGCTGTTATGAGATAAGGTGGTAAGAGATGAATTTTACTCACTCATTATCTTAGAATCTCTCCATCTCTGCATTACTGATATGATGGGCGGGGTGAGTCTTCCTTCTGGGCTGGGTAGTTCTAACGGGTGTAGTTATGATGTTCAGTGGCATCTCTGTACTTTACCCAATAGGTGCCAGTAGCATGCTCCCTCCCATCTCCAGGATATGACAACTAAAAACATCCCTAGAAATTTCCAAGTGTCCTCTGGGGGACAAAATTCAGTCTCCAGTAGAACTGAATCAATATGAACTATTTGATGAATGTACACGATGGTCGGAGCTGAATTTAATGAAATTTGATTGACTGGATGGACAGGCAAGATGCTAATACTCTACATGCCATAAACACACAACCATTTTACAACCCAGTGACACATGTCCTAATAATATATTCTTATTTTGCAAAAAGAAACAAATTTTTGCATAAATGAAGTTACTTATTTGGTTGCTTACCTTGGTCTAAATAAGAGAGACCTATGTCAGAAACGATTCAATCTTATTTCAAATTCAGTGGGTTTCGTCACTAAGAATTTCCTCTGGTAATGTCTATACTATGGCAAGTTCATAAAACAAACTCATTTGAAATCATACTACCATTCCTCCGATAACATGACAACAGATCACTTTCCTTGTTTACCTTACACAAGTGCCTTGAATAGTGGCTCTAATGATAGAATCCATGATGTTATCTAAATGTTTTCAAGTTCATTAATCCCTCTCTCCTTTTTTATTAGTACTCCACATATTGTTATATTGTAGATCTAGATGTCTCATGTGCTCCTCAATGGATTATGGGGGTGCTGCTCCTGCAGCTGTGTCACTGATAGAAGATAGGGTATGGTTAGATTGGGGACCCCGGGGACAAGAGCTGTGAGGGTATACAGCAGCTCCCCTCCTGGTTCCCCTACCTCTCTCTGCTTCCTCGCCATGGGACATGGGCAGCTCTCTTCTGCGCAGGCCCTGCTGTGCTGTTTCTGCCTTGGAGCCCGCTGACCACTGAGAGTATCTGTGAACCAAAGCAAATCTCCTTTCTTTAAGCTGTGGGTGTCGGGTGTTTGTCCCAGCAAGGAAGAAAGTGGCTAAGAGACCACTTCTTAGGAAAATTCATTGAATTTATTCCACCTAGTCAAGACAAAAATCGAACTTTGTATGACCTTATTTTATATAACTGCTATCCAAATTGATATCCGAGTAATTAAAATTCTAATTAACAAAATTCTTGCCCTACGAAGGAAGTTTTGCACGTTCTCTTGCCACACAGCCACAACTGAAGCAGCCTCCCCACTTAACATTCATTTACACATCCACACTTTGAACATCTGCGATACTGTATTTAGAACAGAATACTGAGCAGGGGAAGGGTCTGAGATTTACAGAAATTCACTCTGCTTTCTACATCTGTGTTAACTCATCTGATACATAAGCCTCCTGAGTTAGACTTCCTTCACATTTTGCAAGTAAGGAAACTGAAATAGAAAGACTGGTAGGAATAAAATGAGTTGTAGGCAGAACTTAAATTTGAATACAGAGCTCCGTAGTATAAAACTGTGCTTTTTCATTGGTGTGATGCTATCAGACAAGAAGACAGACGAGATTACCTCAGTGTAGTAGAAGGAAAGAAAAAAAACAAAAACTAGGAAACAAGAAACAACATATGCCAAAGGCCATAACAGAAGTACAAATAAAATAATAAAGGAGGGAAGATCCATTCCAGAGATGTTAAATAAGAGGCAAACCTTTCACAGGGAGTCTTCTGGCTGGGGCACGGAAGATGAACAACAAGAAAGAAATCTTAAAAATAAGGAATGGATCAACAAAGTTCTCAAAACGGGGAAAGCTATTTTCTGTAGAGTGGTGGATTACTTAACTATGGGGATATTTTCCAAGCAAGACATTGCTTGGTGATATCACCATTGTGCAAACATCATATAGTATATTTACCCCAATTACGATGGCAAAACTACTAGGCAGTACAATCTTATAAAGTCATCATGATATATGCGGCTCTCATTGACTAAAATATCATTATGCAGCACGTGACTGCACCAGAAACCAGGGCAGTAACGAACATGGGTGGACATGGTGCTTCTGGTGAGTAGAAGAAGAGGGTCCAGGGAAGGATGGGGGCTGCAATGAGTTTGAAGAAACTTGGATAAGACAAGTAAGTGGAAGAGAGCCCACAAGTTTGCAACCTTGAGCAAAGGATGCAGTTTGGGTTGTTTATCAAGGCTGACCAATGTGATCATTTTGTCCCTAAAGCAAAGGAAGTATAAAACCTTAGTGGAATGGATAGGAGATGATTTATGAAGCCATAAAGTAAAAGGTGACCAAGATATTCACTGGATTTCAGAGAAGCAAATAGATAAAGTTGCTGATAGTGGCTGGGAGGGCTGCTGACATAAACATGAGGCAGAAATTTTTCTATGACACTTTCTTTGTCACGCAATAACTATGTGAACAGCAATCTACTGAGCATCTTTAGGCTTCTGATTCCTTACCAGCAAAAAGGGCAGTACTGTGTGTTGATTAAAATCAGTTATTTCAACTTAGAGTCAGATTGGCTGGGTTCAAAGATCATTTCTGTCCCTGATTACCAAAGTGACCTTGAGCGGTGGGTTTAATTTTCTGTGCTCCATTCCTAATCTCCAAAGTGAGAAAGTTAAAAGAACCTCGGGGTTATTACACATAAAGCACATAAGAGAGTATTTGGCACATTCGGAGCATTTAAGGGATGCTAGAACTAGTATGATGACAGTATTAATGTATCATAGCTCCTAAGACTGCTGTGAAGCTAAATGAAGGAGTGGCGCCTGATACATAAAAAAAAATCCACAAATATGAACTAGATAGGTAGAAACAGGACTAGTCAATAGTTATTAAATAAAGTGTGAAAGTCGCTTCTAGATTTTCAGTTCAGCCTAACAACAGCAACATTACAAAACTACTCCCACTATCCTTATTTCACAAGTGGCACAACCAAGTCCAGTGAATTTAAATAACTGTCCAGGTCAAAGAAATAGTAACTTGGAACTATAGCTTTATACTTATTCAGTATAGATTCTAGATGTATAATCTAACCACTAAGCTCACCTGTACTGTAACAGCAGCAGAACAAATACTAATAAAAAGAGCATCAGAAGCAGAGGGTAAATATGAAAAGCTTTGAGAACTGAAAACCTTATTAAAAGATGGATGATCGCAGCAGAGAGGAGTGTGAGTAGAT